ACACACACACACACACACACACACACACACACACACACACACACACACACACACACACACACACACACACATATATATATATGAATACATAAATATTCCAGTGGCTCAACAACGCACATAGAATAATTCGATTACTAAAATACGAAAACAGAATGGCTCGTACCCGAATATCGGGGGCTCAACATGAAGAAACACTCACGCACTGAAAACTGAAAAGTCACAGTACTACTCTTCTCATACCATTATCTGCAAATACACACAGTAACACTCTAGTCATACTATTATATGCAAATACACACAGTAACACTCTTGTCATACCATTATATGAAAATACACACAGTAACACTCTTCTCATACCATTATATGCAAATGCATACATGCATACAAGTACTCAGACATGGACTCATAACCAGGTACAGCCACCTCTACGCACATCACATAGGGGTAGCTCCGCATACCGCTATATACCCATACATACATATCAGTTTCCAACCACAATATTATCGACAGATACACCTAAATTCCAACAGATCTTCCCAAATAGTAATAATTAAAAACCTATAGTCTACCTACGGAGATATACCTACCTTTACCCTCGTTGCTAAGCGGCTGTACACTTAGCAACAGCTTGAGTACTATAGAATCGCATCGGTAGCCCTCGTACGGATCATAGTCTGGGATATGCTGCACATACTCAGGGCCCAATATTTGCAGTCGGTGGTGGTCCTGACAGTCCATAGTGGGAAGTGGCATCACCCAGTCTGCGTGTGGTGTATGTAAGAGTGCAGAAGTGTGCATATGAGTTTATATGAAGGAGTTCCGTGGCTAGATGTAGGGGGGATAAGGTGATAGCACGTGCGTGTGTGAGATTAGTCAAGGGGATTTGTGTATATATATTTGCGATACAAACTAAAAACACAAGTATACACACACACACACACACACACACACACACACACACATATATATATAAACACATATATCAATATAGAAAACCATACAGGTGCACATAAATGTAGCTGCCTACACTTGCATGTGCGTTGTACCCATAGGTGCCAGCTGAACAAGCATGAGAGCCTTCATGCGCTACACACCACGAATTCTTTCGCCGGGACACTCATATAACCCAAACAACACCCCATATACTAAACTAGACGAATGATAGTACCAACCAACCTACCACTGCACCTGATGCACTACACAGTTGGTCATGCACGCGATGATACACTCTCCACACATACCCCAGTGCAGGTTGAGGGTGGCCTTGTGCAGGTTCATCAGAGGGCAGTCATTGTACTTGGTCGTACTCCCCACCCAGCACAAGATATGGCCTTTCACCTGTATGTCGCCGTCTCCGATTTTCCCGCGCATCCCTTTGACAGTGACCATAAGACCCTCGTGCGATGTGATGGGTGAGATGTTGGACTGGATCATCACCTCCAACACGTCTGCGTTGAGCAGACACCGCCCACGGAACAGCAACCGGCATTTGTCCCAGCTGCTGAGTTTCTGGCCTGAATTATAAATAGATTTTAACCGACACCCAATCAGAACGTGCGGGTGACCGCCGGGGTTTTGCAAGTGCCAATCAAATGGAGCTACACCGAATCTTTCTACCAGGGTACGCAGTCACTCGCCTCTGTAGAAGGCATGTAACTCAGACACCTAAACTCCTTTCGCATCTAATAGGCGTCTAGGAGTTTGTATACTATGATAGTTCCGTTCGATGATGCATATGATGACTCAACTCAACACCACATGTAGACGACAATATCTACAGTGTAGGCTGGCATATATGGCGTCTATGATTTTCACTTGAGTCCCACACATAATAAGTCAATCACCAACTATATATATACATATATATAATATATATACATATACATATAC